AGTCCCGCTTACGAGTTCCAATCCATATTATTATAGTGTTAGTGTTAGTAAATAATTTGCGCATATCTTGATAAAAAAGAAACTGTGCTACAGCTAACAAATCTGCGTAAAACAATAACGGTCAACAACAATATGCTAAACTTAAGACCAATATTAACTCCGGCCCAAAGAATAATTCTATCAAACGTCGCCCCGGTCATACTCAACTCAAAATTTGAAAAAAATTTTCAAAAGAAACAACGTCAAGCTATGCTCCAGAATAACAATCCTGAAAGCAGGAATGACCGACCCGGAATACACTCACATTCTCAATTTCAGAAGACAGGCATACATTGATCCCGATGACATTGGAAAAATCCCATCCATCTTCCTAATAACTTTTGAAGATACATCATACCGTATTTTCACCTCCATCGACAGCCTTCTCTGCTTCCGAAAAACAAGAAGGTCACTTAGCGAAAGGTTGCCTGTTAACTCAAAATTCAAACATAACGACAATCCCAAATACAAATACAACGATTCCCACACCAACTCAATCCTTCAAACTGCCGGTAAAGAAGATTCCCATCACTACCGAGACAAACATTGACAATCCTAATCAAACAACGAACAAATTACCTACAGAGCAACCACCAATCCTTCTCAGTTACAAAAGACCACCGTCACAATCATCAGCTGACGACAAACCGGACTATGTTAGCTTAAATGACAGAGTCTCTATGCCTCCACCAATTAATCCACATAAAAAAAAAAAAAAAATCGCAATAATCAAACTAAAGCCACTTCCTCCCCAATCTCCAGTTTCCGATTCCGCCAAACTGGAGGAAATGTTAGCCCCAGCAAAAGAAATAATAAATAAAAAAAATCCTTCACACTCCCAGCTAAATTATTCCCAGATCAAGAGCCTCCTCCAAGACATCGGATCAGCACATCCATTGGAAATCGCAATAAACTACTATCGATATCATTCCGACCCTTGTTCAAACTCTTGAAGAAATCTACCCCCATCTAAACGAAAGAAGCATAAAAAACAGAATACATCGACTCTGCGAAAAGCTCACAAAAGCGACAGAGACACTTGAAACGTTATTTAGCTGCCCATCCGAAAGCTGAATCCGAAATAATCGCAGCAAAATCCAAATCCAAAGCCCTTCCAAATACATTATGAAAATAATAATACAGTGGAACATAAACCGTTACTATACTCATTACGAACAACTCCAAATTCTCATAAATAATTTCAGCCCTGATATTATTTGCCTTCGAGAAACAAATTTGAAAAAAAAAAGAAGAAATCACCAGCCTATACTAAAACATCTCAACACCTTCGTCAAAAATCGAATAAACGAAAACCACGCCAGCGGAAAAGTGGCCACTGTAATTTCGGACAAATATGATTCTATTGAAATCCCATTAAATTCAAGCCTTAGAAGAAAGCCACACCATAGAAACCCAAAGACAGAAATACGGAATCAACGCAAACATAAACCTGACTTCTCAAAATGACATACAAAGAGTATCTCAAAAACATAAACTACTGTCGATGCGACATTAAAGAAAAATAGAAGAAGAAGAATTTCTATTGTATTGTCACCACACCCTAAACCTACCCCTCCAATATTATTTCAACTGGTATTATTTTCTACGACACACTTTCCTTCAACTTCAATCGAGAGCCATTCGTGAGATTTGCATAATTCTCCACTTTCCTGTTTGTCGTGACAATTCAACTCGGGGAAATGTGACGACCACCTGTACGTTCGTTTCCATTTACTGTTGGCCACTTCTAAAGCGTTTGTTGAAGGACGTAACCTCATTGTTAACCGCAATATTGTCCTTAAACCACCGGTTTTATATTCCTCCGCGAGAAAGTATCTTATTTCGTGAAATGCATAAAATGGCAACTTTATGAGCGTTTCCTTCCCGTGGAAAGTACTCGTCCATTAGATCAATGCGTACGGAAAATGACATATCTTTGTAGACATGTTGCAGCCAGATTTCTTTTCTTGAGCATCCAAAGTAAAATAGCAACGATAATTCGTCTTTCAAATGAATAAAATAACTTTCAAAGTAACTCTCAATAGCTCAGAACACTAATTATGTTATATTTGGTTAGCTTTGAGCTTTAAAATGTCAACTAATAAATATTTAGCATGTTTAGTTATTACATTCTGGATAATTTTCTTCAGATTAAGTCGTGATAATCGAAATACAGTTAAAAATAAAAGATGAAAGTAATAACTTGCAGCATAATTCTTGATCTTCTCAAAAGTCTCTCTACAATTTTCAAATGACTGTGTTATCTATTTAATAGTTCACAATAGTTCACGCAGAACTCTTTCTTGCTACGTGACGTCCGATTTCAACTCTGAACTTTCAACTTTAGTTTAATAGTTGGAATTTGTTTAATTTACATATGTCGAATTGGTAGATAAACGTTTCTTTTATTAATATAACGAGACAATAAAGGACTAGGTAAATTCTCAAACAACGATATCAACAGATCATGCAATTGTAAATTTGAAATTAAATATGATCGCGACTGGTTCACTTACGGATTAGAGACAACTTTTAGTGTAAAATAAACTAAAATAGACTGGAAAGACTGCAGAGAATCAATTTTAGTGTGACGAAAGAATTAAAAAGCGAAATGTCATTTTTATTCAAACATTGAGGAAAAAATGGAAATAATGACACGACCCTGACAAGGCGCCTGTTTTTCCACGGGACACCTCAGTTTGTTTCTCGTCCCCATTAGTTTTGCAATGCGGGCACTGTCGGCCGCAATAAATTTTGATCACTTTCATACCATAATTGCATTACACGCAACTGGTTTACAGTTATGCCTTACGACCTGCTTGTTATATATACTTCTCGCAGAACATACCACTGTTTGTTATGCAATCGACGAGGCGTCGAATGGAGCGCCTCGTATTCGCGAGAAATATTTTCTTCGCGACGAGAAATCGAACTTTATTTACTTACACGATATGTACTTATACGATGAGCCTAAATTCGCGTTACAAGCAAAGCCAGGCAGATTCTATGGTTCAAAAATGAAGGCTTTGCTTTTGATAAAATTAAATTTAAAAACTTGATGTAACGATACTTATTATTGAACTGCGGATTTTTATGCATTTACGGAAAACTTGAATGCACACAACATAAGATATATAAAATAGATGTTGAAAACACGTTGCCTGTCATAATATTTAATAAATGAATCAAAGCTATAAGGTATTCCGTCCTATTTTTTCAAGTGTCTTTACGAAAAGATGCAAATATAAATCGAAGATGTGGAACAAAATTTTTTCGCTTGAAAAAAATTTCTCCTTTCTTTAAAAATAGTGTGTTGTGAAAAAGCGATTTTGTTACTCTTGGTTTTTGTCTCGTCTTGAGGCATAGAATCGGCCCTGACTTTGCTCGTACTACAAATTTAAGTCCACGGTATATGCTTCAACCAGTTCGACACAACAGTTTCGGGTTCAACAACATTGGGCCACGAAGTCGATGGCCGGAAGTCAACTACGGTCTTGTCTTATCAAGATACAACGTTTCTGAGAGAAGAAAAATTCAGGAAAAAAAAAAAGAGAATGAACGCAAGAGTTCAATTTTTTACTGAGCAAAGTACGCATAAAAATTATCGCTGTCGGAGTGATTATTATGTAATATTCTAGCAAAAAGTAATAGTCTAGCGAAAAAAAAGAGAGAGAGAGAGAGAGAGAGAGAGAGAGAGAGAGAGAGAGAGAGAGAGAGAGAGAGAGAGACTATGAAAGGTCACACGATACGACTCTCTATTAAGCAAAAAGTAGATAAAAATAATCGTTGTACAGCAGTTATTTCTTTCGATATTTTAACAAACAAGAAATAGAGAAAGACCATCGTTACAGAGTGATCAATCAAAAAATAGTGGAAAATCGTTGCAAAGTGAATATAACGTAATAGTCCATCGAAAATAGAAAAAAGTGAAAATATGATATTATCGGTGGTGTGATGAATAATCGGATACTCTATTAGATTGTGGAAAGAACAATGAAAAAATAGGTCGAGTTCAGCTCGATCTAGACTCTCGAGTAGCTGTAAGGTCTCTTTACAAATGAACCAGTTAGCCGTTCGTTCGCCTTTCATTGTCGCTTTCACCGGTTAGCGACTAGCTTGACTTAGAGTCGAGGCTACCGTGAAAAGCAATCTTCGTTCTTTCAAGTACTCTTCCTTTAACGAGAACAAAGGGCGCGAACGCGAAAAAGGGGTCCAAGTGCACGTGCTGTCTACTGTTGAAAGCTCCAGAAAACCATCTGGAACGCAGGCGCGAAGCAACAAGTATTTTCGAGTCTTCAAGAAAACAAACTAGTCTCGAATGAAAAAACTTCATTCTGGAGTGTCATTGACAGTAATTGATAATTAAATGAAATTAAATGAAATCAAACGAATTTAAACATATACATATATATATCACATTTGCTTATGAAAGACTCTTATTATTCTGGAGCAATCAGTGATGAAATAAAATTATTTATAACACGAAAGTGTATTATGATCGAACGATTGTTTAATTAATGTCCAACAAATCCGCAAGATTTTCCTCAGATTAAAAGATTTGCAAGAAAATCTACAGTCACAGAGCGAAATAATGAGAAGCCTAATGATGATCTGAATCAAACGATTATTATCAGATTAAAAATCTACAGGACTTACAGAAATCTTGCAATCACAAAACAAAATGATGAAATATGTCAACGAACAAACGATCATCATCTGTCTAATTAACATCGGTGGAATCATTTTATCGATCTGTTTGATAAAAAAAATTAGAAATCAAATTTGCAACGACAGAATGAAATTACAAGTGTCGATGGCCACGATTGGCTGCCACCACCGCGACATATATATTTTTTTTATCGCGTACATTCAGATAGTTGGTACGGAATGGCGGTGGGGAGGGGCGTGAGTTAGAAAGCCCTAAGTGCCTTTCAGAAGCTGCAGCCGGTAAAGTCGTTGCTCAGTGAACTCGGAGCGGTCGTCGATCGAGGTACGGCTCGTCACTGTGCTGTATATACGCGGCCGTTTCATTCAACAGGAGAATTCCGGTTTCGAGGCCTCGTTTCTATTCGACGCGATCGATTTCTACCGAAAGGATCTCCCTACGAGGCACTGTTATTCGCGAACTAGCCCAGCGTGTCTCGAAAACGCATATTTGTTTACTCGCGACGATACGTTTAAAAGTTAGAATTCCCCGGCCTTGTAAGTATGCTTTCTCTTTTAAAAATAGTTGTGTGTAATTTCGCGATTAAACGATCGACGAGCGGTACTGAACGGTCGAACAGGAAACTCTCGGAAAGTGATTCATTTCTTATTGTGTATGTAATCTTTGATACCAAATTCGGAGGCAATTTTAAAATATCAGCGACTGATTTCTAATCGCGGTAAACTTTCAATATCAACTAGAAAAAATTCTTTAATAAAATACAGTATTCTAGACTGATTTCTCTTCCATATAAGTTTCGATATATAAATTGTGAAAAATAAAATAAAATGTAAATTTGTTTCTATTACACAGTGTCAGTCATCAAACGTGTAAAAAAACTTGTTAGGAAATACATTCTCATTAGAATAGTTTGAGATGTATAAAATCAAGGAGCAAATCAGGCATAGTAAATCAAACGATAAACAACGCGAATGTCTCCGCCTGATTGAAATTCGCGAAGGTTATGGAAAGCAGGTCATAAGCTCGTGCAGTAACCAAACAGACTTAATCGTTTCATACGAACTGTGTTAATAAAATTGTTGCACTGTCATATCAGTAAACGCAGTCGTTCGTTTAAATATTAAAGTCGTGAAAATTACACGATGTGCGCATAAAATGAAGGCAAACTTACGAACGACAGGTGAAGGATTGCGCAACACTTTCTAAGTTTCATTTGCAGGCGCGTGCGAGTGGCATCAACTATAATTTAACAAAAATTTTCTTTATTTTAACGAGCTCTTATCAAGTCTACATTTGTACATGAATCAATAATCTTTTGTTGCGCAAATGAGAATGACAAAGAAAAGAAAGTGGTGCATTATAAGTAGTAATGGGGATCTGAGACATTTCGAATCGGCTTGAACCTGTATTTCTTTCTGTGAAAAATTCAAATCACTTCGAACATGATTCGAAGTTCTGAAATTCTTGAAAATCCTGATAGATTTTAAGTTTCGAAAGTCTTGCAAGTTGCGACAGAGTTTGATAACGTGCTGAGCATTCAGTATCTTAGAAACTAATACGAAATTGTGAAATATAAAATTATCAGATTAAACAGAATCCAGAAAATTCGAGTTATCGAATATTCGTCAGTAGGCTACGGATTATTAAATTTCTTTTAAATATATAAAAGTCACAGTCCATTTATTACATACAATCAAGATTTTTAAAAACTTTTAGAAACTTTCAAGACTTTATCAAACGTTCAAGAATTTTAATTTTCGAATCATATTCAAAGTGAGTCGAACTTTTCTCTATATATACATATTCGAATCATTTCAAATTCTATCACTACTTATAGATCTCTCGAAATTGGCGCGTTAATCGTGAGTCACGTGACAAGCAATAGATTAATATTGAGTATCCATCATGTCGATTGCGTTCAATAGAAATCGTGAAAGGTCTCTCGACTTTTTGCAGAATAAAAACTAAACCCATAAATAAAATTTCAATGAAATATTATAGTATTAATTAATATAGTATACGAAAGATCAAGAATGTTGAAATGCCCGATATGTGCGTGGAATTATTAAACGTTCGATTTGTGGAACATGTGCTATTACGAAAGGAAACTCTGAAAATGTGCAGCCATATTTATAAGCAAGCACGAAGCTGCTGAAGCCATTCATTTAAAGGAAATGTTGGATGGATAATGGACATGGTTAGAGAAAAGCCAAGACGTCGAAGTGTGAGCGAACTGCTCGATTGGAGATGCGTTGTTAGGAATAAAGGGGATGTCAATACCGACGACACGTGCATGAACGTGCCCTTCCTCGAGGACTATGACAAGGACCCAGAAATGCGTCGCCGGAAACGTTCCGGTACTTGGCCGTGAGTAGTTGTTTTTACAACCCTTTAAAAGAATGGAAATGGAAAAAATATAATTTCTTCTTGGACTTATAAAAATTCACGAAAAATGAAATGATTGTAAATAAATAATTTTATCTGACAAATTACTTTTAGCGAGACATTTAAAATATGAGGCTTATTTTTAGATTAAATTTTGAATAATTGTGATTAAGTAATGATAATTGATTTATATGAAGCATAAATTTGGAAATCATTGTGTTTCGTTCACGGAAATCCGGTATGGTCTAGTGGCTAGGATACCTGGCTCTCACCCAGGAGGCTCGGGTTCGATTCCCGGTACCGGAAACTTATTTTTTGCCTTGGTTATTTAATATGTTTTATGTAAGAAACGAAGAATTAAAAAAACATAGAAAGTTGAACTAATATATATATATATATATATATATATATATATATATATAGAATAATGTTACGATTACGTATCATCGATAACATAATATCACGATTACGTGTACAATGCAGACAAAAAGTAAGTCAAACGGTATAGCTCGGCTAACACGAATCCAGTACACAGCTGTTCAATTTCGTAATTAAACGGGAATCGCGCGTAATCCGATTCCAATTCGTGCGAAACTTGAGCGAAGTCGCTTGCTCAATGTTATTATTCAAGGAATATTGACATATAGGCAGACTGACAATTTGTCTGATACATCGAATAAACCATACATTTTATTCCACAATTTTCTACGATAATCTTCCATGATTATATCAAAAATAATCATTGTTCACCTCTGACTTTTTCTAGGAAAACTTCGTTGTAATGCACATATTACGCGTGTCTGTGATTTTTGTCTCTACATTCCAAGGTCTCTGTTTCATTCCAAGTTTGTTTTTTCAAAAGCATTGTTATCCAAGTACTTTTTGTTACACGTTCCTCAATTTTTATAATTAATACGTTGAGAATGACATAATGCGAAAAACTTACGTAAATGCCTTATCAAATAACAACTTACATATTGCTCAGTCAAGACTTTGACAACGAAATATATGTTGAAATGAAATGACATATTACAGAACTCCATAAAGGAAAGGTGAATTTACCCGAACACCATATTTACAAAAAAAAAATTTTATTACAGTATCTCTTAAATACTCCAATTTCTTCGGATTCGTCAATCTCTTTAAATTGATATATTTCAAGGATAGCTCACAATTTGCGAATTTTTACGCACAACAGGAGAAAACGAATTTTTCTTCACGATCGCAAATAGAAAATGTAATATGCCAAGTAGCCTAACACGTGTCGAATAGAAATCACAAATATACCTACAGCAATTACGTAATACCACGGATAACTTTTTTAAAAAGTGAAATTCATGGAACAAACACCACGTGACAGGGTCAAACTGATGCAAATCGCCCGAAGAGGAATCGGAAATGGAACGTCATGTTGACGACGAAGTTGATCCGACGAATTAATAATTTCAGTTTAGTACTTCAGTCAACTGTCTGCTCCGTTTTTGCCAACTTCACTCTTTGTCGTTCGAATGCTCGACGTTGCGCAAAGGAAGTTAAATAAAATCACCAGAAAGTAAACGTATATATCCGGCACACGAATGGAATTGATTGGTCCGCGGTGTTAGAGCATGCGTGTCGCGCGTCAGGCGTCGCGACGTCAGCGTCGACCCGCCCGTGGCATTAATCAGCCCATTTTTCCATTTGTTTAATAACGAAACGTGTCCGAACCGATTGAAATATCGCTTGCTACGCGCGATCTAGAGACGTACGACGAAACAGCGCGTCTGTTTCGTTGATCTGTGGACATGGACGAAGCTGAACTAAGGTAGGACTAGAGGTAGGTGTTGGTTAACCTCCAAAAACCCCGGTGTGGTTTGTAGCAAATTTGCCGCTAAGGTCTGCGTTCGCTTTCATACCGCGTGTAGTGCTTATAGTCATTGAAGTAATAATTCGTAATGAACGTCAGGAAAATGCGTGTTTCCTTGTGTGTTGTTTAAGATTACATGATTGTACTACAAAAAGAAGATATTCAAAGGGAGAAGATGTCCTTTCCTTGATAGGATTTTCGAAATTAATCGATTTGGAAACGAGGGAAAACGAGACCAAATTGTTTTTTAATTATTATAGGTCGTCAGTTCTTTCAATCGGTGAAAATTTAATATTTCAAAATATCATCACGAGACTTGCTATTTTGCTAGTGAAAATGACTGTCGTTACATTGAAATAATAATAATATTTATTGAATTATTATCACAATGTAACAGAAAAATTAAAACCATTGTAAGCAAAATTTTTTTTTTCATTGTACGATAATCTTATATTTTCAATAGCATAAATATTAGTAGTAATTAATTTATAATTGATAAATATGTGATAGTTCTGTGAAGTTATGTTAGATTATAAATAAATAATATGTACATATTTGGTGTAAGTATCGTATGTGACTCTTGAATCGTGTACTATGTTTTTTTATGAAGTTCTAAGGCTGAAGATAATTGAACTGAAGCATAATTTGAAATTGCGTTATATTCGAGACTTCAGTCCAGAATTTTAATTTCGCCGCGTTTTAAACTAGGTACAAATGACACATTGGAAAAATGGCACATTGTCATTTGGCTCCCTTTTCTTGTCGAAAATTGTTCATTTACATTGGTTCTACTATTTTTATATCATCTCCCGAAGTTAATGAAGACTTCATTGTATCACTCTGTGTAACTGAAGTATCGTCTATTTCTTCATAAGACTTGTTGCTCGTGTATTCTTGTCGTCACTTACAATGGTGGTTATTGTATCTAATCCAGAATTTAAAAAGGATGCAAATTTCGTGTGATGACGCGTTCTCGTGCACGACATCAAACGACTTCTTACGTCGTTTACATAACAGATACTTGTGATGCAAGTTGAACGATTCGATAAGAGAGATAATTGTTGCAAAACTTGCGAGCATGCAATCTTGTCGTAATTCTAGCCTTGTGAAATCGTAAAAAATCATGAGAGATCTAGATCGTTACTTGTTATTTATGATAAATAAATGTATCTGTGACTAAGAATAGAATTGTAATGACTCGAGCGTATTTTATAAAACGTTCCTCGTACTCGAGTATTTTTGCGTTTTTAAAAGAACGAAGCCAATCTTTTTAAACGACAAAACACTAGGATTTGTTAATATTCAGAGTTCAACAAAGTTTTGAAAGGATCGTTCTAAAGAGAAAATTACAATCTTCAAAATCATAATGAATCCAAATTCTTGTTGAATTCTTAGAAATGTTTGAATGTTTTACAATTTTCGAGAGTAACAGCACTATCCTAAGTTCTTTACGTTTGAAACGTAATCAAGTGGATATTGTACTGTTATATAATTTTCTCTTACAAAGTTATATCATTATATATATATATATATATATATATATATATATATAATGTCGTTCAAAATATAATTCTCCGTTACGCTCTTCGCTGTATTCGTCAATGATCCTATTTATCCTATTTTAATCATTCGAAGATATTTGCAAAAAATAGAAAACACGGTCATCGATGATTACCGTGGCAGTCAAATGTGTTGAGAGTATACACATTGTTTCGCACAGAGGTCAGGGTACCTGTTCGAAACGGCACTCGGTGGGAGTAATTCTTTTTTTTTTTTTTTTTTTATATTGCTTCTTTCTTTCTCGCCAACGAGAACGCGTTCACCTTTCGCCAAGGTAAATTCCATTTTACGCGGTGCCTGTACACTGAGATGGGCCCTATGAGAGATCCCGTAGGCTACGCACGCCGATGGCGCCCCTGTTTACAACCGTCGCGGTTGGAATTTCAGATATTCACGCTCGATGCAATCGATTACCGAACCGGACGTAGCCACGAGCCACGATCGTTTTCTCCTTTAACAGATCGGCCGGAGAGAGCGCCGACAACGACGTTGGGAAAGAAAATCGATCATGGTGTTTTGCAAGCTTTCCGTGTACGGCAATCTGGGCCAAGCCACGATTAGGGATACGTGACCGTCAGAGTGACAAACAAAAGGGCCTTCTAGTAGATGTACTCGTTTCTTTCTTTTTTCTCTTTTTCGTGAAGATTCTCTCTCTCTCTCTCTCTCTCTTTCTCTGTTGTCTCTGTCTGTCTATCCTCGGATTTCTCAATCAATCGAGAGAAAGTTGCGTGTCGGATAGTTGGACCAAGTGAAATCAAGAAGAAAAAGTTACCTAATGATTTCCGAGAGATCTTCGTAGTAATTCGTGAAGCTCGCCTCCTTTCTTGCGGTGATTCATGTTCTAATGATCAGTAGATCTATCAGTCGATCACAGGCTCACGAAAGTATTCAAACTACAGAACTTTCATACGTATATACGTACGTGTATTTTTATATCCGTTACATAAAACATTTTGAAATTTTATCAACATGCTGCTGAGACGTGATCGTCATGACCATATCGATAAAATTTCAAATCACTCTGAATACCAAATGTTCATTGTAAACATACGTTTATTACTAATTCAGTACAGCATGAATATACATTATTGACACAAATTACAGCTGTTGAAATAATTTTGTGATTTGTGAATTTTTATATATACATATATAGGACCTGACCGATATAGTCATGACAGTTGTGCCTCGTTAACGAAATGTCAAAATGTTTTATATAATAACGCGCAGCATGTTCATAAAAAGTTGCTGCACACATGCGAATACTTTCGTGAGCAACTGTACGCACTGCTGCACGGAACGAACCGGTACAATTAAAGATTCGTTGCTGGATAAGATAATGTAATATGACATAATCGGATGTACGTTACGTAACGTTGATGTTAGTGTCGACAAGAACCGTGAAGTTTACGGTATACCGACAGTCCCGTGGAAAGAATCCCATAATTGTTGGCTACCTCCTGTCTGATCGTCATTCTGCGTGCATCCACCTTGCGATCCGCTCCTTTCTAAAAAGTTGCTGCCTCTCGGGGAGGTGTTCCGCTGATATACAATAGTTCGTGACTAATACACCTTTCCCCCTCGTTTGAAACAATGACAGTGATGTGAAAAGATTCGATTGTGCTTGTGCGGAACACACACACACACACACACACACACACACACACACATGTGCACAGTGAGTTTCTTCGAGAGCCTTCGATAAAAATCGAGGAACAGACGCCGATTCTATGCGGCGTGGAATCGTTGGCGTGCATCAATAGAGAAGATTGAGATAAATAATGCATAAACGAAGTTCACTGAACGTTCGGCGTTCTATGAAGCAGAATTCACCGTGTCGAGTTCAAGGTCAATAAATCGACGCTTCGAGATCTCTCGTCATCATCGAGGAAGAAAACGCGAACTTTTAAACGCCGTTTAAGATCGTCTAACAAATTCATTCGCGCGGTTTACAGTGTTGGTGGCGTAGATAACGAGCGAATAAAGAGGAAACGATATGACTAGACTATGGATTTTTTTGCATTCTGTAGGAAATTTAAAAGTTCTTGAATGCACAGAATACATGCAATCTAGAAAAATGTATAAAATATCTACAATATTTGACCGCGTTCGTCTCCTAAAAAATTAATTAATTCTACAAAATGAAAAACAAAGAAGTTAATAAAACAGATATACTTTTCTAAATATGAGATATTTTTATCTACTGATTTTTCTTGATGCTCTAATAGATATTTTTAATGGATATATTCCTTTCTAGAATTCCTCTTAAAGAAGGAACTTACATTCCTGCGCAGAGTGTATTATTACGGACGTAATTTTTATCTAACGACGCAGAATATTCTTGGAATAATCACATTAACTCGATATCTAATTATTAAAGAAATTTGTTTCAAACGTAAAAAGTTGAGTGAATGGTTTGGTGCTAGAATTTAAAAAAGAAAAAAATTGGAGTTGATCCCTTTCGTATATAATAACTTGGTTGCTATTCTTTCTGTTGCGTTTTTCAAAACACGAAATTCTCCACAGTCTAGAAGTAACGAACGATGCTCGACGTAAATCTTGAATTTATAAGAAAATCACGTGCCCTTGAGAGTGAATCTTACTATTCCTTAGTAGCTAGCACGTTCGAAGAACATCGTTAACTTCGCATTAACCGACCTTCGGATTTTAATGATTGCATAGTTCCACAAAACAAAGGAGATTTTGCAACGTTTCAACAATCGTTGTCTCTGCAAACGAACAATATCTCGAGAGTATGGCCGAGTTTTTGCTCAGGTTTTTCGTTTCAACTCTGTCGCCAGAGAAAAATTGCTGCTATCAGTGGTTAGTCGAGCCGTATCAAATGATATACGCCTGTATATCTATTCCATCGAGTAGTATAACCGTTGCACGCCAGCTGTGTGTTTATGGCGAAACGATTAATAGAGTGGAACATTTTTTTAATTTATGTGAACGTTTGTATCCAATAGATTTTCAATAAAGTTACACACAGTGTCTATCACGAAAATATTCGAACACTTGCAATAGCAGAAATTCTGTGCGTGTTATATAAAAATATTTTGAAATTTTATCAACACCGTAGTGAAAGACGATCACTGTGATTACAATGATAATAGTTGAAGTTAATCCGATAATGTACATAGACGCGATATCGCGAACTATATTATACAAGGTGATTCTTGTAAAATATAAAGTGACCGATTGCGTTTTCCTCAAAGTGAAAAGATCTTTGAAGGAAAGATTCTGTTTCAGGAGGGAAATAATTTAGCATATACGACGGCGTTGTAAGTGATCTCAACTCGATTTTTTCTAAATCGATTTGTATTTGTATTTGAATGTATTTTTTTCCTTTGTACTCCGATAATGTGTTTGGTGTGACGAGTTTATCGACCACGACGCATGTTCATCAAAGGTTACTTTGGGTTGAAAACTTTAAATCTCGGGAAAATAATGCGTTATTGTATCAAAAACGCTCAAAATTTCACTTGTGTCTTCAAAGATTAATCCTGTGGAAGAAATTATCTGCAGTTATCATAATATAAAATTTCAGCTAAAGGTGGCATCCACAGCTATTGGCATAATCTGTCGATTTTAATATTTTAACAGAATTGATCATATTAAAAAATTAAAGCCCAATATTTATACATTCGTGAGGAGCTTATTAGAGACTGGAGCATTTGATATAACCATTTTTCACTGGAATGTGAGTTAAAGTAAGTTTTTGATCCCGAGTGATCTAGATAACCTTGAACGAACATGTGCCATGGTCAGCAAACTAATTATACAAAATTCAGTTCAGAAAAATTGAGACTAAGTGTTTCCATTTATAATTTAGGTGCCCATTTTTCTAAAAAAATAGAATATCTTTGGTTCGAAAAATTTTTTCTCATCTCTTTTCAATTTGGAAAAAATTGAATCGGTCACTTTATAAGAATCACCCTGAGTTTGATAAAAAATTAATGTACAGCATGCATTGCTATGTTAAGCATATACAATAATAGATGTTAAAGATATTAAGAAATATTAATATAATGAATATACATTTTCAAACTTTTATATTAATATAAACTTTTTTCAAACTTGACTAATATAATTATGATTAGACAGCAAATTTTTGTACAAATTCAAACTATTACTGTCGCTAACTTAAGAAAATAAAATCCTAGAGTAGAACGTTATTTAATTATGAAAAACGCTGTACTTTGAATGCACGTATTTTCTTACACTACTTGCACTTCCGTTCAAACTTTCCATGATTAAAAATCTGCAGTCTAACTGTGACACGTGAATCTCTACAGTGAATACTACAGTGTTAATAAATTTGCAAATACTTTATGTAATATACACAGAATTATTTTATATTCACAAGAAGTTCCTATAAGCGATCGAATACTTTCGTGAAATTACTGCATAAGTACATATGTTGAAAATAACAAGTAAAATCGAAGATGAAGTAAATGTTGATATTTATGCAAGATTCGGTGGAAGAGTTGAATTTATCACAGAATTGAGCCATTTCACAGGAAGTCGTGAAAAATGACGGACCAAGTCTCACCTTTGCTGGACATTCAGTGCAATGGCCACCTCGATATCAATAACGATATGCATAATCGTTTTCAAAATGGATCTTCGACAAAAAATATTCCACGAAACAGAGTGCTCAGGTAGAAACTGTTCTTTCCTCGAAGAATCAACAAATATTATGTCTGAGGAATATGTTCACGAAAACCTATGTAAATTTGTTTTAAAAGAGCTGACTTCATTAATAATTCTCATGAGTCATTACATCAAGCGATGACCGTGCTGTTTGTTTATTATGTAGATGCATTAATATCTGGTCGACGAGACTGCATTTAAATATTACAGAAAAAAAGTTCCACGTGTATAGTTGTCAATTTCTAATAACAAGCTGGTTATTGTTACCGATCACTATTAGAGAGATTATAAAATAGAAACTACAATTAAAATATGAAATATGATGTAATTGTAAGTAAGACGGAATGTATTAAGAAAAATTTTTTTTAAGAAGAGAAAAACTTATTCAGATTTACTACGTATTTAATTAGATTCTAATAGTAATTTACAATAATTTATTTCAAATTTCATTTTAATTATTTAAGATTTTATTAATTCTGTTTTCTAAACAGAAATTTAAAATATCTGATCGAAACTCTAGTAAAATTTTAATTTCAATTCGTTTTTCCTTTTCTTCTTGAATTCTAAATCACTATGGCCTGTAGCGTCTACTAATGTCAATTAAGAGTCAAGGAAAATCAAAAGTCCTTTTTAACGATATTATACGACGATTTCAATGTATTTACCTATGATTGGCTGATCGTCATTTTTATTATTTTTTTATTGTCGTATTTTATCAGATTCTTAGATTTGAATAAAGTGTGCTATAATATTGTTGCTATTATTCATGCAAATGAAAGTTTGTTTCCACGAATTATTCCATTGAATTATTTGGTTTCAAGATATTGACGTTCTAAAATCTTGACGTACCGACAGAATCTTGATGATCATGTTTAGTAAAAAAATTTCACAGCTGTTATTCTTCCTGAAATGATCGTAAAACTACTCATTTACAATTCTTATTACGGAAATGTAGATCAGCAAGATTAGATTATTTTATAATTGACGTGCATAAGAGTCGTCAATGAGTGAATATTTATTTATTTAACCGATTTTGTTTTGTTCGCAGGAGAACGAGAAGTCTGAACGCACCTAGTCCCATACAACAATTTGGACCATGCGGGCGCATCATGAAGAATTCCTCAATGGTCATGTGAGTATATAAATTTCGAAAATATTTATTAGTTTCCACTTCATAAGTAACATAAACGTACACTCTGAAAAGTTTGGATCAAATATTTATTCGTATATTTCTCTCTGAATTACGTCGATCGATTGATTTTCGATTGTAATTAATTATAATTAATTAAAATTTCTACTTTTAAATAGCATACGAGTAAAACATTTAATTAAACAGTCATTATTTCTTTTGAAAGTGTAACACGCTTCAAATTTTTAAACAGAATGTAGAAACCCTAATGTCTCGTCATTTAATCTCTAATGTTTAATGAAATTCAATAAAATGATGAAAAAGACTCGTACAGAATATTTAAAATTTTAAAGGATACGTTTAAGACTATTGCGAATCTAGTCATGAGAAAGAATCATTAACATTTCATTTTCATTTTCATTTCATTAACATTTTCAGAGACGTTTGAATTTTTACAACTTTTGAGGATAAAAGTTTCCTTACCTTCCCATCTGTTACATAACGTAAAAACATCTTTGAAGAAAATGAAGAACTGTCAAAGCAGAAGCTTTACTCTTCAAAATAAGACCAATGGATTGTTACATAATTTTTTTTTCACGAAGTTATAACAGTCTAAGGTATCGACGAAGTTATAACAGTCTAAAGTATCGACTGTAACTTTGAAAAGTAAAAATTCTGTCGTATATTTTATAACACTTGTATATCTACACATTTCGAAAATATTAGGCAACTTCATAAGCAATACAATCATATAACAATACACTCATACTCGAAAGATCGAAGTATTCTTTACGTTAAATAAAACAAATTTCTTCGTACATTTTTCTGAGAAATATATTATAATTATACTTGTATATATTATAATTATACTACTAACTTTGATTTTTAAATATAATTGCATTAAGATTTCAGTATAACGTTACGAATAAAGTGTTCAATTGCTCGAAGTAATCATTACTTGTTTTAAAATGTTAACACGTTCCAAATTTTTGAACAAATTGTGTAATTTTAAAGCAGAAAAATCGTGTTAAATCCCAATCAATCGAGATTACGCTTCCACGTCCTTTTTGCAAAGAATGGGAAAGTCTGCGAAAGACATGAAAATGTTAGCAAATCGGCAACATCGCAATTTTTCCCGCACTTGTGAAGTAGTTTGGTCGCTACTGCCAAGGACCTTCTACCTCCCGCTTTTATGATTTAGTGAATTGCTATTGAGGAATTCTAAAGTCCCCTATAGACGTTGAAACATGCTGATTTATGTTCATCGGTGCTTACGCTCATTTCATGTGCAATTATCAGTATTAATATACAAAATAATACACCAAAATCTTCACAAAAACGATTTTCTTCATAATTCTGTCATAAACGCACCACCCTTATTAGCGTAACAATATTAGCAATATTATGCTACTTCTGTTTTGTCCCGAATCCTTGCAGTTTAATAGATATTTGCAACTTTGAATGAATCTTAACCTGGGATTATACCCACGTTGAGGGTCTAGTGCAGGTACATCCCGGCACTAGACCCCGACGTGGATAATCCCGGGTTAAGTAAACAATGTATTTAACTATTCTAGACGAGATCGAGGAATGTTTGCGAGTCGAATGCCGAATTTATAGCCTGTCGAAAAATGTCTTTTGAATTTCTTTTATGTACCCTTATTTTGAAAATCTTTCTAAGAATCTATATTCGAAATGAAAATGCGTGACAAATAGTATTGAAGAACCATATCGTAAAGGTCTCGGGACACCATTATCCATTTTTATTGAAAGTCGAGGAAACTCTGAAAATTGGAGGCTCTGACTATGGACAAAAGAAATGAAATATTATACACAAGTACGGAAATATTCAACACAAAAGTAGCAGAAACGGGGTATAAACTAAACTTACAATTAAGCAGGTTTTCCAAGTTTCAACAGCTTTCATTCTAACTAAGTACTAGCAGTTGAAATTCTCGAAATTCTTCTCTTGAAAAGTTCTAAAAGATTTTAATTCCACATGTTCTATCGGCGCTTTGGACAATTACTCGTCAATTAAATAAAGAATTTTCAATTACACTCTTTTACGCTATCCAACATTGAACACTGACGCGACGAAACAGAAATTCCTTGCCTCGCTAATTCTAATCTAATCACTGACGATAAATTATTCTTTGAATCACTAAATGAATTACCAAATAATTTTCCTAATTCTCAGTGGAGAACCAATTATCTTTCGATTTTTTTAATCTTAAAAATTTGAAATGCAAAGTAAAAGGCGATCGTTTATGAAATCACTCGAATATTAATCGAAAGTTTAAAAAATCACGTGAAGTTTTTTTTTTTTTCTTTTGTTTCGGTTAATTGGACGATAAGCCTACAAAGCAAAGGAGAGCGTGTCGAGTAAAAACTGCGCTGCACGCGAGTATCTCGACCCAATTATCCGTGACAATGACTTCTTAAGCGAATCTAAACGCTGTTTTGCCAGCGTGAATTAGAAAGCGGTTCTATAAGCTCGTGGAAACATTGTCGACGGACAAGTTGAAAATCAGATGGACATATCCAGATCTGTTCGTGTAACGTTGTGTTTATCCGTTGTGTTAATAATGCTGTTAATATTGCGTCGCGAAATCCAGTAACAAATGTTCTCGTTCGATCGCAAATGTATTTTGTGCACATAAAGTGACGATACAATTCGTAGAGTTTCATTAATCGTAATTGAGCACTTCGAAATATGCATTGAAATGATTACTCAGCAGATACGATTGAACGTGTGTACAAGAAAAAAAAAAGATTCTCCTTAGCGATTATGCGTGCGTAAATCGATGATAGTTGCATATTTAAAAACGAATTATGTATGTGCATAATGTTCAAAAATAGTTGCTTGACCATTGAAACGATTCTAAGTTTCATTCGCACGTGCAAATATTGCATCAAGAATCGACGTAACAAAATTTTCCAACTAAGTTTTTGTAAATTAATAAATATTAATAAATTTATACATTTATAAAATAAATAAAATAAATTCTTGATAATATTTGTTTGTACTATGAAGAGCATGAAGAATTGTCGACAATGCGGATTTTATGCATTTTACAATTTTTATGAAGAACTGACTAAAATAAATAATAGAACTTAATAAAATAATAAAAAAATTAACTTAAAGAAAATTCGTTTTATATATATGTTACAATATATTCTATTTTGAATATTTTATATAAATATTATATATATATATATATATATATATATATATATATATAATATTACTTATATATATTATATATATATATATTTTATATAAGTATATTATAAGCATTGAGTATACTTTTGCCACTTCCAATTTTCCATAAATACATAAATAATGCAGTCATATCTTAGTAAAGAAATATGCAACGATTCATTTTGTTTCATTTTAAAGTGTAAAATCTCTACTTTAACAGTCCTAAGTTCGTCTTTTTCAAAGATGTTTTAAAAAATTTTCTTAAATTATGAAAATTCTAAAATGGTAAAAAAATTTCTTTCACGATTAGACCATGAAACCATGATCTTTGAAGATCATGGAAATTAAAATCTCTACTTCACAAGGACCAAAGAAAATTTGCTGTACGATATTTTTTTCATCTATTTTACTGAACTTTGAACATTGTAATTAGACGACAAGATTTCTTGAACACTCGAGGTTAATAAAAGATTTCTTAAATATTTAATTTATATAAATTTCATAAAATGGCGAGAAAAAAAAATGTGCAGCAAGTTCCAAGGTTGCAATTTTCAAAGGAACAGATCACAGATCTAGTCACGAAGAGTGTTATTCTATGTTTTTTAGTTTTAAAGAGATGGGTGTTATTCTGTTACTTAATTTTAAAGAGATGAGTGTTATTCTATGTTTTTTTAGTTTTAAAGAGATGAGAAAGGGTGTTACATAATACAACTTTGAATGAAAAGATAACAGTTCAATTAGCGACAATTTCTGCATCGAAAAGTGTTGCTCGTTTTTTGTTTAATCATGCATGCACTTTGCATTTAAATAAATACGATCGAAGTCCAGATATGTTAAACTTTCATGTCATAAATTTGAGATATTAGCTTGTTTCTGAAGTTAAAATTCTCCTGTGGTAGTGTAATTAAGTCAACAAGGGTGCAGTACCATCGCACGTGAATCAATTATTCGTGTCATTTTACGAATTATGCACATAAATATGCGTCACGATACAATCGCGTGTATACGAAAGCTCTCGTACGCTTGCGCGTCGTCCAATTGTTTACCGTTTAAAAGCGTAGCGCTCTGTACGGTTCTGCTTCAGTACGAGTGCGACTCTCAAACTGTTCACATCATGGTTGGGACGATCAGGTAGAGAACCAACTAATAAATTCCCTTGCTTTAACAACAAATTACCAAACGAAGAATTCACTTTGTCATCAGCTTCACTCGTGCACATCAAAGAATAGTTATCGGTTTTTTTTTATCGTGGTCAGTTTATCAGTGAAATTTTTCGACTCGTATCTAGTGTATTAATGATAATTAAAAGTTACACAGCTACAATTCAACGGAGAAAAACAAGCATGTTGAAAATGGAACTTTAACCCACGATACATATTTACGAATTATATATTTTCTGTTAGGCAATAACACGCGTGACTTTTCAAACAAATGTGGATTTTTGAAGTGATTTTTTTTAAATTACTTTCGGTCGTGCCAAAAATTTTGTCGAAATTTTCGAGTAAAATCTTCGGCAGTGCGTTGATAATTAAAACAGCGACGTTTTGATATAAAATACGCGCGTAATCGCACCTTGATCCTCGTAACCCTAATTCAATAATAAGTTTCGCGATCGATTGACTTGGTAATAAATCAAGGACGTTTGATATTAAATTAATATTAAAGACTTCAATTGATTGTTATCTTAATTTAAAACAAAGGCAATAATGTGTTCCCATAGACGTACGTATTGAGTACAAAAGTGCAGCCCATCTTTGAATATAGAAAATTCTTTCAGCCAATCGTTTCATCGATATCGATAATGCATCAGAATAAAATCCTGTAATAGAAATTTATTATTAGATATTTAAATATTTAGAAATTTCTCTAAAAATCTATTATTAGATATTTAGATTAGAATTTATTTTTAAATATTTAAATAGTTAGATTAGATATTTGGAACGAAAGAAATTTTAATTAATTACTTTAGTAATTCCATTTCATTATTTGATCTTTTTTTTTTTAGAGAAATTACTAAATATTTCATCGTTGTAATTGATGACACTTTGATTAACGAATTCGTTTATTTTATTCCAGGACCATTCAAGATCCAGCCTCACAGAGGTTAACGTGGTACAAGCCACCACTTACTGTTCTAGTCATCAAGAAGGTCCGCGATAATTCGGTTTTACCACCGTTTGTACAATTAGTCACATGGCTAATAGAAGTAAGTATTATTTTTAATTCATTCCACACATTTCTTATATAATTTACGCAAAAAACGATTCCACCTGTTCTTTTCTATCAAAGCAATCATTAGAGTCCAAGTCATTGTGATAAGACAAAACTGGCTTGGAAAAAGGAAACTATGTTGGAGTATGCGCATATATTATTTAAACGCTATTATACTTTCACTCGCGTAATCATAGTCAGACTAGCTTCCTCGGGAAGACACTGTACTTGGTCTATCGATTCGAATCACGTGATTCCACAGTTTTTTTTTTTTTTTATACAATTATCTATAACTAGCCCATACACACGACTGTGTAATATGTATAATTTCTTCAAGAAGCTATACGTTCTATTTACGATCTTCCTTTTACCTAACAGTCTTCTCTATCTTCTACAAGTTTGTAACTCAAAAAATTGATTGTCTGAATATTTTTGTAGGAAAAACGGATGGTAGTGTTCGTTGAGGCATCTGTCTTGGAAGATACAACCCTAGCCAGGGACCTCAGATTTCAGGAGGTTCGAGATAGACTACAAACTTTTAGAGATGGCACAGACGAACTACAGGTAATCATCTTTTATCATTGTAAAAGCCTTATTTTGGGCTCGTTAATTCTTAATAATTAACATACAGTGAATGTACATAATTTTGTCGATAATTAAATTCTCATACAATAAATTTTAAGAAATCGTTATAAAGAGGAGATTTTAATCTTCAAGATCGTGATGGATTTAGTTAAGAAACAAATTTTTCATATTTTCATAAAGATGAGTGAATTTACAAAATTTTCGAGAAAAGAAGTGTTTTCTTTTATTCCCTCCAAAATAATGTAAAAATATTTTTAAAAGAAATGTACTAGTAATGACTTTATGCTTCTAAGAGTTCAGGTAGATTATTGTATGATTTCTTCTCACAAAGTTAGAACAGCCTAAAATGTCGACAATTTTTCATCAAATGTTAGAATACTGTGTCGAATGAAAATATTGTCGACGTTTTAAACTATTTCGTGAAAAAAAAATCGTAGAACAATCTACCTTGTCTTATTTTAAAGTACGAATTCTCTTTCACAGTATTGAATTAGTTTCTTCTAAAGATGTTTTTGCATTATTTCAAAAGGAATAAGTAAAGGTACTTCTCCCGCAAATTCTGCAAAGTCAAACGTCTTTATGGACACTGACAACATATTTTTCACAACTAAAACCACCTTGAAGATTGAAGTCTCCCCTTGTTGTACGATTTTTCTTTCCATAAAGTTATAAAGAGTTTAAAATAAAGACAATTTTTTATTATATATTACACTACGTCTAATTTGTGTTATAAATATAGACATAAAATAGATATAGAAATTTCTATTACAGCTAATTTCTTTCAAAAATTTCTATAGATAGTCTCTGTTATTTAATTTCTACAAGAGAGAAATCTTTTTATAATAGATCATTTCTATTCTACTATATCATATTAAATTAATATATGTTTCTGTTCAAGGATCGCATAGACTTCATTGTCTGTTTGGGAGGCGATGGAACCCTTTTATATGCCAGTTTATTGTTCCAACAATCTGTACCACCAGTAATGGCGTTTCACCTTGGTTCCTTAGGGTTTCTCACGCCTTTTGAGTTTGACAATTTCCAAGAACAAGTAACAAATGTATTAGAAGGTAAGCATTGTAGAATTACTCGACGATGTTCTTCATAGCGATGGAAATAATCTTTGTCCTTCAATATTTCTCTGCCTTCCCCCTTTCTCGATAACACAAGAGATGATAATGTCTAACGAGAATAAGCAAGTCATTGCACATTTTGAAGTATTATTGTACGTCGCTAATGACTTTTTTACACGTACATTCGTTATGTATTGACCAGCAAAAACTAAAGGATTTCAAGAAATGCAATGATGAAAATAAACGTGCATCAATACTAGAACTACCGATGACTAAATTAGTAAATTTTCTGTTTGAAAAGCCAAAGTGCAAAAAATAAAAATAGAGAAACAGCATACGATAGAGCCTATATATATATAATGTTTATGAAAATTATGTAAAAGAATTATTTCGTATTTTTCACCATTGTGATAGTTCTGATGTTAATTGTTTTAATATGTAGCAGTAATTATTTTAATTAGAATGTGAATTTTTATGCAAAGTATATAAAGTATTCAGATTGTAGTACTTTCGATCACATTTAATACGTAAATGAATTTTCTATCAAGAATCTATTTTTTTATTAATTTATTATATTTCAAAAAACACAAATTTACAAAAAACTCGACAGTCTAGTTACAACACTTCGTATGTATCAATTCTCAGCTTAACATTGATTAGAGCCTTCATCTCTATCTCCGAAATCGAGAAAAAGTATACTGCATGAAAATCTGTCGATATGAGAAAGTTGCGTTCGAAACTTGTCGACGATGTGGTAAAAAGACGAGTTATAAATCTGACGAAAGTTTGCCTTGTCTTTAGGTCATGCGGCCTTGACCCTGAGGAGCAGACTGAGATGTATCATCATGAGGAAGGGAGAGGAGAACAAGGAGAAACAACCGACGAATTTGCTGGTACTGAACGAGGTCGTGGTGGATCGAGGTCCGTCTCCATATCTTTCGAATATCGACCTCTTCATCGATGGCAAACATGTGACCAGCGTGCAGGGTGACGGCCTGATCGTGAGCACGCCAACCGGGTCGACCGCATACGCTGTCGCGGCTGGAGCCAGCATGATTCATCCTTCAGTACCTGCGATCATGATCACGCCAATTTGCCCTCACTCTCTGTCCTTCAGACCAATTGTCGTGCCCGCCGGTGTCGAGCTGAAGGTATTTCCGAATTTTTTCCGCCGTCCTGCCAACGTGCCGGACACCTTTTATAGTCAGTACAAGTTTCGACGAGAGAAAGAGAAGAAAGAGAGACTCCGAAATTCATAATTGTGTAGTGGCGATCGTAGTGTAATTATCCGATTCTGGTACTGATCTTTGTTGGAGAAGATCATCTCTAAGAAACTTGTACCCATCACAGATTTGAAGTTTTTCAGTCAGTAGAGAATCTTTAGAATCGAGGAACTTTCAAACAATGATTCATAGAATCACAGACTGTAATTGTAGAGTTGGACAAAATGTTTGTAATTCTTCAGTTTTATTATATGTTAATCGTAAGAAAGTCAAGGCTTTCACAATCCAGTAGGGAAACTTTTAAACGACAACCAGTGATTGTTGTCTAATTTAGCAAACTAGCAAACTATAACTGTAAAATTATACAAAATCTTATTTGTAATTGTTCAATTCTATAAATCTATAAGAAAGTTATATAGATTTGAAGCTATTACAATATTATAGAATTCTTTAAATCTAGTCTTTGATTCTAAAAATTCACATTTATAGCATTAGTGTGATACAATATTTCCACGTGGGTCAGTAGAGAATCTTTATCATAGTGGTATCGGTATTTTCTAGTTCATGACATTGCCCCATAGAAGGAAACTTGGTCCCAGCGGATGTCATCCGCATTCCCAGACTATGCACTGTTTAGTTATCCTTTGAACAAATTTTCAAAGGTTGTTCTAATGTATACGTATCGTGGGAATTAATACCACCAATTAGATTTGCTAAGTTGAAATATAAATTCATCTTACTTTTAAACTCACAACAATATACAAAAGTTGATCATCATCTATAAGTATTTGACCACCTCGTGGAATTCTTTTAATAATAGTAACTGGTACTGACTATTGTTTAACTATTCTATCATCACTTACAATATCTATATAAATTTTCCAAAACAGAACAAACATTAGATATGTGCAACCATCACACGTACAAGTGCACAATTTTGTGCAAATTTCAAAGTACATTCTCATTTATTAAGAATTCAAGATTTTATAATTGCCAACAAGTGTTATGTACTCAGCATTTCCATCAATTTCGTATGGTACATCATCGTGCCGTAACAATATGTGTAAGAGATACACACAGTGACAAAAATTACAATACATTGAAAAGTTTTAGTTCAACTATATTACTCGTAAAATGAATATGGTCAAATACTTATAGACAATAGGAGAGGATAAATTTATATTACAACTCATTATACCGATAATAAAGAAGAATTCGTAAAAGATATCTTGTTCACTCCTTTCAAATTGACTTAACGTTCTTCTTTTCTTTTGCAGATCTCAGTTTCACCAGATAGTAGAAACACCTCTTGGGTGTCGTTCGATGGCAGAAACAGGCAGGAGCTCTTCCATGGCGATAGGTAAAGCTCAATCAATTTCTAACTGTGTCTGCAAATAATCATTAACAGCAACGATAGTAGCATAGCTTAAATTTCCTTCGATGGTCGTCAGGGACTGGTCCACCCTAAAATTCTTTTATTTTCATTGGCAGATTACAATTGTTCATTCATTTTCCAATTTTTCTCTTTCTTCTGAAATTTCATTTTTCGGTATCAATTCGTTTGAAGTTTCTTTCTCACTACGATTAATTGTTTCTATGATTTCCATGATATAATTTAGCTGGAATATGGGATTTTCATTATTGTAGAAACGAGACGTTAGCTGTATTGCAAGTTGCAGATACTCTTAATGATTCGTTTACTGCTGCTTGTCACTAGACTGGTTTTTATGCATTTGTGAAAAGTTTCAAAAGTGCGAATAGAATATGCGAGAATATACAACAAATAGAAAATTTTATTGTTTAGTTTCTGTTTCATTTTCCTGTATAATTTTTTCTACGCAGTTATAATAATTTTTCATCGTTATTGACTCAATTATTCTTCGCTATGCGTTTACGTTACAAAAATGCATAAAAATTCTAGTTATCACGTTTTTATATAATGTATCTCTTTTTTACACGGTTTTATCATTTTCAGTCTAAGAGTAACCACGTCCATCTATCCAGTGCCCAGTATTTGCGCTGTCGATCAAATAACAGACTGGTTCGACTCACTGGCAGAATGCCTGCATTGGAATGTCCGTAAGAAGCAGAAACACCTGGATGAACTAAGTGATTTAACTCATTCATCCAGCAACGATACCTTGGACTCCCTGGATCGTGATAGTTAGGCAAGAAGGAAGAATTGCAATAGACACAAATGTTTCTAGATCAGGTTTTGAAGTATCATCATATTCAATGTTTTTATTCGTAAGATCTGATCTCGAAATATTTCAATGACTCAATGTGCGATTCACAAAAGGGACAAGCCTAATCTGTGTTCGTTTGGTCGTAAGGATAGAAGAGAATAAACTCGTCTAATAAGTCGTTGACAGAACTGAAAAATCATACGTATCCTCTGAACACCGTCAGCGATATGATACAGCGAAACTAGAAATTCTCGAAAGAACCTAATAGTATTTCAATACGTGCTCAAGAATAGTCGAGTAGCCGTGTTGCAGAAATTATGAATTTTTTAAGTTGAGAAAGATCGTAAGGAGTTTGCGTGTAATCAGTGAATCAGAGAATGTTTCCTACGTTTTCCAATGCATAATTCTACACTACAGAATGATGTTTCACTCTGATTCATTCTTCAAAATGGATCTTTATTCCTGTCATTTCTTTTTTTTTTTCTTTTTTTTTTTTTTTTCTTTCTTTTCATTGGGTTTTGTTAGAGATGCGAGAAATACTGATGAGGAGACATTGTTTAAAGACAACTAACATCTATGCAATTGAGTTGTTGCATAGGAGAAGCAGAATGAATTACTAATGTTTCTTATGAATGCGCAACACAAAGAAAGAAAAGTGAATTATGAAAAAGATACTTTGCATCATGCACTCATATTTATTTATTATTCGCTCCTACTCTAATTGATAAGTTATGTGAATTCATATTGTCAGATTCCATTGATTGCAACATACAGAGCACACAGAATGGAAATGAACTAAACGAAAAGTTGTCGATAATCTTTTTTGTTTTGCTTTCTGACAACGAATACAATCTAGTTAAGGATTATTGTTTTGTAAATGTTGAATGTACTTTTCTTATAAATGAACATTTTTAATAAAGAAGCATTTTTGTACAGAATATGAAGACCATGTTAATTATAACTGATACAATAACCAAAAATGCTTGTTTAAAAATCATCAAACGTACAAATCCTAGAGAGACTTATTAATTTACTATGTCTGATAAGAAATGATAATACGCCACAATGTGAAATTGTATTGAAAGAAAAATTTACACTTAGGTAGAAGAGAAAATGGTGTGTGAATGGCAAGAGTAAATCAATAAAATAAAGTATTAAAAAGAAAGAAACTAAAACATTAACAGTCTAACAAATTAAAATATGATTTGTATATGATGTTAGAAAGTTCTGTTTCTTTCCTTTTAAAGAGGATACGAAACAGATAAAGAATACATTTAATTGTATGAAAAATAGGGATCAAACTTAGAATGCATTCAATATAAAGGCATTTCGATGTCAAACCATTTATTTTTGCACAACCAGGCAATTAAATATACATTATATACAGGAATTGTGTAAGATTCGTGAGAACATATTGCCTTCTTTGCTAAACAGCAACAGAATACGATAATAAGTAACATAATCTTTTCGGAGGACCATTAGAATCTGAGAGAAACATAGTGAAGTACTTAATGCTCGTACCAATATGTAATGTGTTCTATTTATGGTCCTACCTACCATAGAACTGTAGGGTAATAGAAATTCATCGCGGTTTTGTGCTGCTTCATTAACTTAAAACATAAATATCTATCTCTAAGCTCTTACATTTGGTTGCATCAGTCGTGGGCATGACGTGTATACATATGTACTACTTTGTACACACGTACGCATGCAGGTCAAGAAATCTAGTCGATAATCTAATTAATATTAATCAATCTACTGATTCGATATGTACATCTATTAAATCGTGCTAAAATTTAACTAACGTTATCCGGAAAATGGCACGTGTTTCGCTGTATTTTCGCATAGAAGCCACGGCCTGAACGCATTACTACCAGAAACAATAAAAAAAGAAAAACAATAAAATACAACTTACCGCTACTGCACTTAAATAACACGGCACCCCGTCTTTAAGTTAAATTAAAAAACAGTCTATGAAAGAACTTTTACTGTTCATACACGCTTACTGATAGTAACTTTTGCGCCTTTTTTTCGCTCTGTCACTTTCACAAAATTAATTAAGACTGGCGAGGGCGTGTCTATCATTTTCATGTAACGCACTTTAAATACACGCACTTAAAATCGAGATTTCTAGAACATCGTCAATATGATTTTTGTATAAAAAATATTGAAATTTTTGCTCAACACGTTAGTGAATTCAACGCACTCGATTATACATCGATTTTTCCATTTTCCTTAACGAATTTACAAAATAGCTATGATTGACCTAGGCATAGTCGCGTCTCGGTGACAATATATTCTTTCTATAAAAATATATTTCACACTTGTGCGCGTTTAAAGGGTCAGTGTTGTTCAGTAGTCTTCGCAAAAATGCTCGCCTCGAAGAGTAAAGTGCGATATGAATGATTGTCTACTTTCTCACGGTATATAACTATTCTTTTCTTTTACTCTAATGCCTGCAATTGACGTACGTCTCCATTTTTCCATTTACGATGCGAACGTAACGAGTACAGGCTCGTACGAAGAGTGCAGGTACTCGCTGGTCTGTAGAAAGAAAGAAAAAAACCACTGTTACGCTTTATAACTGGTAACGTTATTGACAAAGCTTGCAACCATTTTTTTTTTCGTAGTCATTTTAAGACCAAATCTTCGAAGAGATATTTCAGAAAATTTTTATCTTCATGTTTTACAAAAAGTCATCCACTAGATGAAAATTTAGTCTCAATATGACGCGAAATGTGCGCGAGATGACAACAGAAAAATCACAACACAATCTCGCAAACTAATAATCGGGACAGTGAACAATCGCGATCATTTAATTTATGATTTGAGGCGCCTAATATGTATAATTTATTCAAATGATATTTAAGGCATTCAGGACTGTTATGGCACACACGGTGTTAAATGTCACGTAGGTATGCAAGCAGGCAATCGAAATTTTCACATCAGAGTTAGTATTGTTAGAGCACACACTCACATGCCTTCTGTTCTGAGTCCTGATCCACGCAAGACGGTTGCTGAATATATAGAGCCGGTTTCAGCGGCCTGCCGTCCTGATCTTCAACCTGTATCACCAGACCGTGGTTACTTCCGTTTCCATGAGGGTTCCGCGGATTCAGTCTCCAGAATCGAAGACCCTGTCTCACATCCAACGCCAAATGGGTACCTCTGGATGTAAGAGGTGTCACCACCGAGTCCATTAAACGTTTCTTCGCTGATAATACAGATTTTTAACGATAAACTTTTATTCGATTAACAATTGATTTCTGATTGATTTGTTGTTGATCAATTTGTAGAGTTTACCTCGGTGCCTCTTCAAGGTTTTCGTGTAATAGTAGACTGATATCCTAATCTTTTTCTCGTCTTCCTCTTCCTCGTCGAACGTGCTTTCCGAAGTGGACGTCACATTTTCCTGCGGTAATTTGAATATTCGTAATTTAGCAGCGACCACGTGATCGCTAGAAGTCAGGTTCAATTGAAAATGCATATTCATGGAGAACGCGTCCGTCCAGGCGTCCTGATCCGTATTTCGTGGAATTTGACCTGATGGAAAAGATCAGACTTGCATATTTCAGGGTATTAACGAAACGTTAACCTGTTAACTATAACTTATGAATACGTTGTTTTATTTGTGGATCTTCCGTTCTTTAATGTATTGTTCCATTTATTTATGGATTTTATATATTTTAATGCGTCATTTAATTTATTCATAAATCCGCTACTCTTCAATTTACGTTATTTTATTTTCACATTTAGGTACCTATGTTTCTAAAGGTTAAAAACTTTTATTGACACTGTTTCGTTTGTATTAAGTTATATTGCGTGCCTTTAGTTAAAGAGTAGACTTACAAGTTGGTGAAAACATAGTGAGCCGCTCGCGTTGAACCTGATTGGCGTCGGTGCTGAGGTTAAATCTTCCGGTGAGGGCCAGAACCCGCGTCTTGATATCCTCGATGGCTTTTTCACCCTGACTGCACACAGAAACGAAGTTATCCTATATTTACACGTTGGGTAGCTTTAAAACTTAAAATGATAAATGAAAAATCACGGCAGCCGACAAACCCTAGATACAAATACTCGAGTAAAACAGTCATAAAGGGGAATTTGTAATTTTCATCCATTAGTAAAATAAATATTTGGGATTTAGATTAGACATCGAGGATGGGAATTGAGAGTTAAAGAGTAGCAAAGCGAAATAAAGGAATCAGAAGTAATCGGAGAATTCCGTGCCTGGATAACGACGTAAAAATTTTCACTTGGAGATACGTGCAAGCTTTCCGGACAGGAAGACAGGCTAATGGACGGTGGTCAGTGACCCACAGGGCCCATAGTGTAGATCAGAGATATTTATTATACGTTCTAGACATTGACTAGACAGCCGACGCGAGCATTGCTATATACCTCATTCGTCTTGTCTAGCAATGTAATGTATTCGTGTTAATGTATTCATGCTGTATCTTGAATCTCGATTCCTTCTAGTAAACTAATTTTTACTTTCGAACGTTTTATCACAAGCGACGCGTGATAATGATACGTTCTGCTAATTAATAATCGTCCATCTTACAGAAGATAATTAATCTCGCAGAAGAAGTCAAGGAAATCAAGTCTATATATGTATGTAGAACTCGTGCCGACGATCAGGTGAAATTATAGGGATTGCATAATCGAGCTCTAAGTCATTAACCGGACGGGGGGAGGGGGGGGGGAGGAACGTCTTTTCTCTACGTCACTAGCAAGGATTGCTTCGTTGGACGCCCACTTGGACCTTTGAGCGCAGCCAATCGCGCGTCAACGACCTCGTTGTTGCTCGACATTCAACTAGAAGTGAATTTTCCCTAAACAATCGATCGGTCAGGCTACAAAAATGATTTCCACGTGCGGTTGGACGTTCAACAGAAAACGTGAAAAAAAAGAAAAAAAACGAAATTTCTCTCTTTATCAATACCGATTCAATTTGCCCCACTTTTCCTTTTTCTTCTTCTTCTTTTTTTTTTTTCCCATTCAGGAATCCCTTCGAGAAAGCGGAAGAACTAGAAGGAGAAAAGCACTCGGACGAAATCTCGCCACGAAATCTTTATGGATTGTATTCCATTCTAGACATGCTCCTTAATCTAGCCACGTCCAAGTCACGCATTCTACAGCGTCTCGTTGCGTACGTGTCACGTCTGTCTGCTGTCTGGGAAAGGGAAGGACTCGGGTGTCTGGAGGCCGTTGCATCATGAGAATGAATCCAGTGATCCTTCCCGAGTACCGTATTAAGAAAATTGGCTACGTTACGCCGGTTTTGTAACAGCCTTCGGACGAGCATGAAGCAACATACTGCATCGCCAACACATGGAAATCTAAACGAGAAGATTTCTTTCAATTTCTTCAAGGATCTTTCGTTCTTATTATTACGAAGAACTTATCGCCAGTTGAAAGGTGAAAGGAAAGAAGACTATATTATAGAATAATTTTTATAATATTGCAAAATATTTCAATGATAAGATCTCATCCTCGATTTATAGGGCTAAAAAAAAAAAATCGGCGTGAAATATCGGTGTATGAGAGAAATGGTGTATTATACAAAACGGTGAACGTCGACCTGATTAACGATATCAAAAAATGCAAGTTGCATCGTCTGGCGGGGAGGTGGAGAGCCAGACTCTGACAAAAACTTCCTTCTCGTTCTTCGTTGCCCGTCTCGCATCATCTTTATCGGCATAGGAAGAGAGACACATAGACAAGGTCAGCGCATTAAATTAAAATGTGTTACATAACCTCGTAAGAGAGCAGTCCTGACTGCAGTCTGACTAGACACCCGGTGATTACGAGGGTGCTCAACTTAAAGCCGCCGTTTTCGCCACGATCTAACCGCGTCTGCTTCGTTGTACACATCGTAAAAAGTCAATTAATCCGTCTGCACGCGACGTATTATACGTATTCTCACCCCTTCATCCGCAACCACTTTATCATTGAGTAACACGTGTGACTGTTCAAATGAAATAACTCTGTTACTCTGTTTCTTTTCTTCTTCTTCTTCTTCTTCTTCAATTCTTTGAAATCGAACAAGAGCATTTCTTTTTTTTTTTTTTTTTTTTTTTTTCGTAGTCGAGTATCGACTCGGGTCGTTCAGATCATCCTGTAGAAGACTCGAGGAAGAAGCGGAACGACCGGCACACCGGAGGACTCTCAGCAGGCTACGCCAGTGCCGACACGAATGCATTTACGCGTCTAGACTTAATAAAATAAAAGAAACGTCTTCGCACCAGAGGCCAAGGTGGTGGAGGAGGAGAGCGATTTAAAAACATAGCATAGGGACCACAGCGGAATTTCCACAGCACGTCCTTCCTGGCTCTGTTCTTCGTACTCGAAGTTTGTCTCTCGAAAAGATTACGAGCACCTGTCTCTCTGCTAATAGATAAATCATTTTTCTTTGACATAAAGCAGTTTTTCTTTTTTTCTACGTTTTTTCACTGATCTTACCACGAGTTCTTGACACAATCGTTTTTTAATAAATTTCAGATCATTTCTTATAACCAGATTTCTGTTGATATTGTTCTCAAAACGTGGAACTAGTTTTGATTAATTCTTTGAATTTTTTGTTTAGAAAAACGTGAACGAAGAAAGCGGACGCTGGTCAGCTCGAGGCGTAGAAATTCAGTGGCGTTTCGTGGTTCTTCGTTTCATCACGATATTTTTACGGGCCATCGAGATATTTTTACGTGGCGGGGGCAATGATTCGTCGAGAACGTTTTTGTCGTCAAGCATTTGTGAGCACAGGCCTGGGTTACGTCGTTGGAAAATCGTTCGCTTCGTTTCTTCGTTGATGATAATTAAAAAGACGAATATCGGCCTGTTTAGTCTTGAAAGAGGAAGAGAGAAAAAAGAGGAGAAGAACGGGTGCGTTACCTTTTCATGCAGACACAACATATCTCCGTGGAGAATAGATCTCCCGTTGTTATCGTAATAAATCGTATTCCGTGCAATACGAGCAATGAGATAATCGTGATGAGAGAATGTATTTTTAGATTATGCAAGCCAAGCCAAAAGGAAAGCAGCCGATCGGCCCGGGGGAATAAAACAAAAAAAGAATTCGACAGAATTCATCTGTCCATTTTGTTTGGCACACCGAATCCCTTACCCAAAAAAAGATCATAGCCATCGAGGTGAAGCTTACCTGTCGAAGTTTGAGGTTAGGTTTCCTCTAAAAGACACAAAAAGCAGATTGTATAGATACTAATTTCATTTTTCGCAAAGCAAGACGACACACGACATTTAAACAGTGAACGAGAAAGAATATGACGAGAACAGAGGGAGAGAAAATCGTGCAATCTACAATTGTTTGAAAATGTACGATTTTTCTCCGTGAATCGAATCTGTACTAAAGATTCTAATTAAAGAAATATTTATTTGAATTGCCAAGAGCGCAGTGAATAGAAGCTTGAGCAAACGTAGGATCATAAAACACGTCGGTTAGCTTACTTACCCTCGTCTATGAGCAATGGCTAGTTGCAGGTAGGACGACAAATTGGCCAATGGAAGGCTACCAGAGGACACGTTATTGTTCGCCACGAAAAGCTTGACAGAATCGGGAGTGTCATTTAGGTAGCCCGACGTGTCATTCTCGTTTTCTTCAATGTTCCAATTTAGTCGGGAATCGTGACTGGAGTCTTCATAGTCCGACGTCTCGTTCTCCTCGGTGTTCTCGAAGCCAAGGGAATCCACAAATTCAGGGATTACCCTGTAAACGTCGTCTTCGACCCATTCGAGTCCCTCGTATTCACTGATTCTCTTATTCTCACTGAGTTTCTCTCCACTTTTTGAAACCTCCATTTTAGTATTCGTAACGCCAGCGATATCTGTGTCATTTTTATCTTCCGACATTTCGTCTGATACAACAACGGTACTCTCCGTAACAGCGGTGGTACCAGTCGATGTTGTTGAATACGTTGCTGTAGAATAATCATTGTTTAGATAGTTACCCCTTGCATTGGTGTTGCTCAATTGGTAAACCACAGGAACAGTAGCAGCAGTAGTTGAAGACATCGGTAACGGTGTCGACGCATGAAAGGAATTGCCAGCATTCTTCGAAGTCGTGTGCCGTATCGTCGAAGATGCGTGATGCTTGAACGTTCTAAGGCGATTTTTGTTGCTTTCGTCGGAACCTGAGCTAGAGTCAAACTCAGAGTCGTCGTATCGGATCTTGAAGACCACGTGAGGCTCCATAGCTTTGTCAAAGTCACGATGGAGATTATTCGCGGCATCCTGTTCCTCGGATGTCTCGGTAGCCTCTTCGTAGTCAACAGCCGTTGGTTCCGACCAGGGCTGTTGAAACTCCATATTGGAGGGCAAGTTCTCGTAATCGAGGATCGCTTGTTTATTATACGCTTCGAAGTCGAAGTCCTTGTAAGACGGCGATTTGTCCACGTGACGATTCTTTTTACCTTCCCGTTTGACGTTCTCGAAATCGGGATTCTTCGACGCGGGACGATCCACGGACTTTTTACTCCAATTTCTACTCTTCTTCTCTCCATCTTCGTACAACACTTTCGCCCAGGGCTTGACAGTCTCCTTTTTCCTCAATTCCTCGTCCTTCCTTTTACTCAGCTCCCTCTCGCGAATCGCCAGAACCTCCTCCAGACTGTAATTCAAACTTTTCAACAGCAACATGTCACCGGTGCTCAAATCGCCGGTGATTATTTTTAGAATCGCCTTCTCCAGCATCTTCTCCAACCTCCTCTCGCTGAAAGGTACGCCGCTCTTCGTTTCCTCGCCCTTCGGGCTTCTCCTGTTCTTCTCACCTACGGCGAGCACCACGTTCTCGTTCTCACTCGGCGCGTATCTTTTTATTTGGTCCACCGGATCTCCCTTTTTCTTGTCATCCGCGTGGACATCGCGATGATGATGGTGGGCCGAGACACTGTTCGCAGTCAAAACAACCAACAGCAGTACGAAGAATCCGAAGAACTCCATGACTCAGAAAACTTCTTTTTTCAGACGGGGAAATTCTCACTTGTTCTGTCCCTTGTCTCCGTCAGAATCGCTCGAAGATAACAAAAAAAAAAAAAACTACTACCTCGTCAGAGACATGCAAACTGCTCGTGCAGTCACTGTTATCGCTCGACGGAATTCCTCATTTTCGTCGCCCGAGGGAATATCACAACCCTCTTGGTTAGCTATTGCCGTAGCTAAAAACCGCGTGGCTGTTCACGTTGAAGCGAGTGACCCAGAGAAACGGATCGCGCGAACGATTGACGGAAGACGCTGGGCGGGCGTGTGTCCGCGTTACGATGAAGTGTTAAACAAACTGGTCCGTGATACGGAGTGGCGGGTGATCGCGGACTAGTCTAATCGCATCAGGAAGCCGCCGGTATATATGTAAGTAGGAAAGATTCGTGGCATGCGTGTGCACGGGCTGAGCAGTAAGTCTCAACTGAGCCGAGCTGGTCTGCTCACGGACATAATTCTGTCTACTCACTAATTCCGAGACAAGCACGAAGCCGCGAGAGGAGACGCGCCGGTGTTACTACGATCACTCGTTTTTTTTTTCTTCTTCTTCTTCTTCTTCTTCTTCGTCTCCTTTCTCTTTCTCTCGGTGCGTCTGTTCCTCTCGCTCCACCCGCCGCGCGCGTGTGGTAATCCCTTTCCCTCGCTCGCCGAAATCCCGCGGACGACTGCCTTTTCTCCGATCTCCGCGTGACGCTTATCGCGCTCACCGTTTCTTTCTCCTTTTCTTCTCCTTCGTCCACTCAATTTTTCCCTCTTCCTAACGAATCTTCTTGCTCTATTTTACGTGCCGAAATAGTAGATGGACCCAATTCGTGGCAACGACTGATATATATCGATGCTGATTGGAGTAACTCTTTCTTTTTCGACAGGTGCGACGAGGATTCAGCAAGGCGAAACCGCCCCACGCGACATTCAAATGAACTTTCGTCCTGTGAAATGGCCGATTCGTAATCTGGCAAGAAGAGAGAACGAGAGAGAGAGAGAGTGATTTTCGCGCGTTCGAGAGAAACGTGAACTGGTGAAACGAAGGGCGGAAGAGTCGAAGGGAGAGAAGAAGGAAACGAGAAACGGAGGCGCTCAGTGGCGAGAAGAAATGAGCGAGGAGGAGCACCTTGTATTCGGCTGCTTGTTTCAGGGGCAGCGACTTTATAGGGTGTCTCCCTCTCCGCCGTCTAGACGAATCGAAAGATATGATCTTTGAATCATAATGTATCGCTTTTAATAAATGCAGCCTCCGCGTGCGTGAGTGAAAATACGATGCGTGGCAAAGCACGTCGACGACGGGGCCCAAAAAGAAGGACTGGAACGAGGAAAGGGGGGAAAAAACAAGCGGAGACCGAGAGAGACCGGGTGAGACAGAGCGGGACGAAAGATAAACCCGTGATCGTGATCGTGATCGAATCGGTCGCCCAGGATCCGTGTGAAAATCCATAAATTTCGCCGTCGAAGAGAAATTAGAAAGATCCGTATATCGCGTTGGTCTTTTTTTTTTTCTTTCTTTCTTTCTTTCTTTCGGGGTCGAGCTTGTCGTAAATTGCGGCGACGCGGTCGAATTTGAAAATTAGGTTAAATGTTCTTTGAACCTGTCTAGTATGACCCGTCTCTCGCGATAGGCACACATCGGTTAAGCGGTCGTCTGGCTTTTGAAATAAATCATTCGTGATATACGGTATAAATAATAATGCGCCGAGACGAAATTTATCGGAAACAGTTACCTATTCTTGGACTAGGTGAGATTTATAAACGATATAATTTATAAAAAATGATATTTTCAAACTAGGTAAGGTTGATGAACAATGTACATATTTGTTTTTGTTTTTTTTTTGTTTTTTTAGTAAAAATGACGAAATATGAGAGAGTCGAAAGAACGGATGAAAAGAAGTGCGTAGATAGACGCAAATAAGTTTCACGTTAAATCTTTCCTAGAATTAAGACGATATTCGACACAGATTCTATTCTTTATCTCTGATCATCTTCGTCTATCGCTCTGTTTCTCTAAAACAAATTGGAAAGGGGACGATTGCAGTAAGAAAGGTTCACTGTTAATGATTGATTTTTGTTGGCAGATATCCAAGGATAAACTTCGGCCAACTTCATCAGCTCCTCTTCCCACGCGTCAGTTGCCTGGAAAACTTTGAATCAAATTTTCGTCGAACTGTCTGCAAAATGGGTAAATTTAGCCGTACGCAAAAGTGAAGAAATTTCTAAAGTGAAGAAATCGACGTACAGGAGCGACAGGATCGCACCTGGATGGTGTCGCAAATGGACGGTGTCACGAAAAAAGAGAGAGAAAAAAACGAGGGACACTTTATTCAACCCCTTGGTTGCAGCCGAGAGCGACGATCACCGTCGCGTTGACCGATGCGTTTGGATCACGCGTGCATATCATTCGCCGCTCGCACGCAGACACGTGCACGCATTTAAATGTACAAAAAGAAGGAGGCCAGCGATGCTGCGAGGTGAACGGAGAAAGGAATAGACGACAGACGCCGGGCGAAAGAGAGAGAATGCAATTTGATCCGGCGAAGAGAGGCAAGTCGAATCGTCGAATCTTTCCGACGATGCAATACAGTCAACGGTCTGACGTCATCTCCGAATCCTCTGTCGCGATTCGGACGTACGGACAGACAATCTGGCGTCTAGACGTACCAAAATAAATAACGCGGGGCCTTGCCTCGTCATCAAACTGTTGTTTGCAATCGTAACATTCATCCGTCGGCCTTGTCGGGCCTTCTCGTGCCGTGGACAGGGATGAGGAATAGAGCGGAACCGTTTCGGAACTGGCTCGTGGACGCACCGTTTCAAATTAATCTGGGTTATCCGATTAATGCACATAGGAGACATTTACTTGAGACTGTCGATATTATGCCCTTTTGAATAGAGGTCGCGGCCTTCAACTTAGGGAATTGAGCATCTACAGGTGTTTTAACGTAAGCATCATTTTCAATATATTTTTGTTCTTTAATTTGTGGTATCTCCAAATGTTACAATTTACAAAGACGATTTTTTATTTGCTGACTTCTACATTGTATGAATAAATTGCTAGAATTAATTGATAACCTTCTCATACGTAAGATAAACGAAATTCTGGTTATAGAGGGTTAATTGTAACTGTTTACTCCAAATGAAAATCTAACAACCAATTTATTTATTTATTTATTTTTCATTATTATTATAAAACAGCTCGACCATCTAAACTAATTAATTGAGTTTCAGGAAAGTGTGTGTATATTAAGAGTTATTTGTACAATTCGAGGACCGCGAAATTTGTGATTCATCATTACTGCTCTTTTTTCAAGGAAGTCTAGAAATTTCGGCGTTTCCACGTACTCGTATGACTCGCATGATTCTTGCAACTCGCGTTCTTGCGTCAGTTCCTCCAAAATCATTGATTGCCCGATTGACGCAGGAGACGCAGACGATGGTCGTTGGGATCGCGTCATAGTACTCCGGCAGACGGCGGAGCAGGTTCGATGACTTTCGGCGGTCCCAAACTTCGTTCGGATTTCAACGAGTTCTCAGATTCTCTTGATATTCTGACATCAAACGACGTTTACAATTCAGGTAAAAACTATGGACGTGTTAGCCTCGCCCACGTTTGGTGAATTATTTCGATTGGAATCGAAACGAGCAAGAATAGAGAGGGAGAGAGAGAGAGAGAATGGGCGAAGAGCGAAACAAGCTCGGTCAAGGGTGAGAAGACAGCATGAGAAAACGTAGAGAGGAAAAAGAGAAAACAAAAATGGAAATGGTGCAATTTGCATGGCTCGGACATATCTCTCTTTTTTCCTCCCCCATCTTCGTGGAAGGCAGACGACTATCGAGATAAGGAGTACTTGGAATCCGGTAGGAGAGAGAGAAAGAGAGAGAAAGAGATTCGATACCGCCTGCTCGGTCCTCCGCTCTTCGTGGAAGCGAAAATTTGAATTTCGAATCGTATTGCGCAATCGTATCGCACCCACGCATAGGTGCACTCGTTTCAACATCGCACGTGCGATCATATGAAATCGAAAACACCAGCGTGTCCTCTTTGGTAATATTCCAGCATTTTTTACTGCTCGAAGATAAAACACACATGTATGTATTTCAACTAGAATCAGGTTCGTAATCGATTTGCGATCACCGCATTTGACAGGCGTCGTTATGTCTAGACTGTGCATAATTATTGGACTGTGGATTTATGTACGTTTTTTAATTTTGAGAAACATAACTGGAGGAATAGACAATTTCCCTAAAGGAAAATTTGTTTTATTATACATTATATTTGCTGTACCTTAGATATTTTATATATATTATTATTTTTATATTTCACACGGGATTATTTTCTACACAGTTTACACAGTTTACACATGATAATCTTTATATTTTAAACATCTTTTTCAATTCTGATGACACAAAATACATTTTTCATGTAATTAGAACGGTATCGAACGTACATTTTAGCAGCATATTATATCGTAAGTGAATAAAAATCCACAGTCTAATAATTACAGTGACTGACAAAAATATTTAAACACTTGCTGTGGAAATATTTTAAAATTTCATTGATCCCTCGCGTTTTATTGCAGATTATAATATTTCCTGCAACACGTATAATATATTAATCTTTTCAACTCGAAGAATGTATTTTTCAGACGTGTCACCTTGTTGTCTATAATTATTACCGACTTTCTCGTCCCCATTGATCAATTTCGTACGAAAAGCAGCATTGCGCGTTAGGTTGTAATTTATAGGGACGCAGGCTGGTCAGTCGGAGATCAGAGATAAAATAAATTCGCTGTCAGGGCACAAATTGTCCCTCCCTGTCGATTCAACGCGTGTCCAGCGCGAAGATTATCTTCCAGCGGCTACCGAGCTTTCGGAAGATGATCGTCAGTCCAGATAACAGAACATCGGAACTGACGCAGAGGATGATAAAGGATGGAATCCGATTCTTCCCGTCTGGGGAGATGAGTCGCGTGCTGCGACGAAAGACGACGCATCGTATTCGTCGCATTCCGACGAAACATCGGGGAGGGAAAAGGAAGCGCGGACAAAGAAACATGCACGTTCCAATTTTAATGCGTTTACTTGCGTTTTTCTTCTCTCGTTCTCCATCAAATGTTATCGGCAGTCCTTAACCCTCTATAACCAGAATTTTTTTGGGTGGAGAAATGATTACTTAATTATCTTATTATTTGCTTCACAGTTAATTTATAACAATACTTGTTATAAGTAAATTATTATTGTAACATCGCGTGGACGAAGCAGAGATAATTAAAACCGTATAAAAATAAAATTTTGGGCACGTTACGTGACGTTGTGACAGAGTTAATAATTCAAGAATATCGAATTGAAAATGTATTGCCAGTTATGGCAAGGAGAAGAATTGATACAGCTCACGAGGAGTATCGACGAATACCAATGAGTCCAATTACTCGCGATTAATTCAAAACCAGAAGATGCGTATGTCCCAATTAGGAATGCATTAAAATCGCCGCACGACGTGATTTAAGTCGAAGCCATCGATAATAAATCGTTGCAACGAAACTTGTTCCCGGCTTCGTTGTTTTGGATATTCTTCTTTTCGTGGCGCGTTTCAAACGAACGAACGAACACTCGTAGTTTCGAAATTCGAGTTTGTTTAGACCGCGAATTTTTATGCGCCTTTTATGGGAAATTTGAAGGTGCAAAAATTCGCAGAATGCGCTTGGTATATTAATTATCCAGATAGACCAGACTATCTATAAAAATATGAATTTACATAAATATTCGCGTTATTATTACTTTGGATATTTATCTCTAATCAAACAATTTTTCGAGCGTTCAACATTCAACAAATAATTTACCGAACTCGTTTAGACTTGGATTTTGTTGTAGCGAGAAGCTTGATTACTTTGTTTGATCTAGACGTACCATTGCATGTCGCAGAATCGCGCGAAACAGGAGGAACAGGAAGAGCATAGAAGAATCTTCAATTTTCTTCGGCTTCTCGTCTTCTAGGATGGCTAGGCCATCTGGTTTACTGTTTCCACGGTGCCCAGCATTTCCGCTCGTTGAATTCCTCTGTGGGAATCACGCTATTCGCTTGGATCAGATACGATACGTTCGGCTGAACCAGATCCATATACC